GCCCGGTGCCAGGTACTCCACGGCCCGGCACCGGTCCGCGGACCGGGGGTTGGGGACCACTGGTTTAAAACATCTGACACAACCGTGACCCTCCTTTTTTGTTCTTCTCTTCTAAATGCTGGGATAATAGAGCTTTCTCTCTCTCCCTTGTCTTCCATTATTCTTCTGAGCATTATCCATTGTTTGCAACATTCAGTATGGTACCTGTGATAAATAGGGTACATTCAGCGAAAGCAGTAGGAATTCTGAGGAAGGCTTTTTTTTAATTGAACTCTTCTAGTGGTAGTTTGGTGGTGGGACTTTTAGTTATCTCAAGACCATTGCACTGTCTTTATATGTAATCCCAAATTAGGATTTAGAACATAAAAAGAAATATACCCTAACAGAATCATAATGTATATTGAACCTTAGGTCAGAGTGAAACTGCGAAAAGATCAGAAAAAAGCCTTAATTTGCTCTTCTTTTCTGAAATTCTTTTTTCTGTAGGTCAGGGATGTTAAACACGCGTCATCACAGTGGCATCACGTGGTGTATAGGGACTTTCCCTCCTTCGCTAAACTGGGCATGGGCATGTCCAACGCATCTGACCCGTGGGGCGGGAGTTTGACAGCCTTGTTTTAGGTGTTTCTGGGAATTATGAATATAGCTCCTCTCTTCCTAAAGCTATCTCCACCTCCTTCTACCATTAATATTTATTTCAGAAACTTCCACAACATTATGTACTATCTTCATTTTTCTTTCCTTTTTGGGGGCCTTTCCAGAATGGGTAAAGTACAACCAGGCTTGACTGAGGACCAATTATGGCGGGCAAAATACATCTATGACTCTGCCTTCCACCCAGACACCGGTGAGAAGATGTTCCTGATTGGACGTATGTCTGCTCAGGTGCCTATGAACATGACCATCACGGGATGCATGCTCACCTTCTACAGGCACGTATGTACCTACTAAGGTCTGGCACCTTGTGTGGGAATAGTATAGAGAGAGGTATGAAGTGAGAAATCTATAACTAAGGTCCAAAGATGTATGTGATGAGTGAATAAGAGAGTAGCTTTTATTTTACTTATGAAATAATAGCAATCCCTGGGGTTAAGGGAGTATTTAGACTTTATATGCTATAAATTTTTGTTCCATAGATTGCTCAAGAAGCTATTAGTCATGGGAGGGAAGACAATATAGATGTCTCTTCCTCTTAAATTACAGCATTGTATCAGACAAGATGACTTAAGGCAAGAAAGCAATATGGTAGGTGGGGAAAATGACCTTAATAGCTCCCTGCCACACATGTCTGACTTAAATGAAAAAAGATGCTGCTCTCCTGCAGGATATATGCTTAGGATTAATAGCCCTACCTGGACATTTGACTTTCAATTTCTAGAATGGAATGGAGAATAGGGTCCTTCATGCTGGAAGTGTATAAAAAGCAGTAAGGCCACATCTAACAACTTCAGTTTGGCTCAGTTTCCCAATGGTTTAAAATGAAAGGTTGAACTGACCATAGGGATTTTAGTATAGATTTTTCTTACTTTGTAATTTTTATATGGACTTTTTTTTAAACGTGTGTATGTATACTCTTATAGTATATGTATACTCTTCAGCATATATACTTGCAGCATATAAGATGTGAATCTTCTTTAAAGGGTTCCAAAAAGAAAGGCATTTTGATTTTGATTTGAGAAGTGTGGTATAAATAGGTTTGCATGAAAATGCAAGCCAAAACATCTTTCTCCATCCATTGTTGATATGCAGAACAAATTCCTGATATTACAACTGTTTAATTCTAAGTGCTTATTTTTTTTGTCTAGTTCTGATTAGTAGATCTTGGCATTCTAAGTAAGGCAGATCCTATAGATCTGAAGCCTTCACAGCCTTGTTTTAACTGCATGACACGCTATATGTTTATATGTATCTTTATCCTTAGCTCTAGTTTATTCTCTAAACTGTTAAAAGTATATCATTATCATTTTGTTTTCTGTGATAATATTTTGTGCAAAACTGTGAGCATGATAGATATAGATTTGATACTTTATGCATGTATGTAATATATAACATATAAAATAACATAAAATGCAACCACATTTTAATATTAAAACTGTTGCATGTAATTAGCAAAGGGGTACATGAATGCAAACACATGTTCTGGAGAGTTTTGAGTGGCTTAAGTGAAAACCAATCACATAAAACTATTTGAGTGTCTTTGAGAATGTGACTGCCAAATGCTTATGTTAATGTTTGTGTACGTGTGTGGACAGATAGATAAGGACATTTAGAAATGTAAACTTTTGCAAGGACATGCGTTAATAATGTTTGCAACTTACTTGCTAATAAGTGAAACCACAGCCAGGCCTCTTGAAGTGTATGCACAAATGTGTGTTATTGTACACTAAGATAAGCAAGCACAGTTTTCCTAGGATGCTGAAGGTTAACCTGGCATTTTGGGTTCTCTGATAGCGTTCTGTCTTGGCTTCTTGTAGGTTTTGGCAGTCCTGACTGTCTTTTTTTCCTGCAGGACGGCCCCTGCCATGGTTTTCTGGCAATGGGTGAACCAATCATTCAATGCCATTGTCAATTATACTAACCGGAGTGGAGACGCACCTATCACTGTCAAGTAAGAAAGCAGTAAAATAAACTGTAAATTAAGACCAACGTCTCTACCAAGAATTATATCCAATGGTCTTGAGTAGCCTGGCCCTAAACCAGCAACAGGCTGTGGCAGTTTCTAAGAAGTACCTTTTTCACGATTCAGTGCTTATCTGGATAGCAAAACAGGAGATCTCTGTTCTCTATATTACTTCCACCTTATCCCTTACTAACTTTTCTTTTTTTTACTGGCTTACAGATAGGAATATCAATAGCACTTAGACTTATATAGCGCTTCACAGTGCTTTCCAGCCCTCTCTAAGTGGTTTACAGAGTCAGCATATTGCCCCCAACAATCTGAGTCCTCAATTTACCAACCTTGGAAGGTTGGAAGGCTGAGTCAACCTTGAGCCTGGTAGGATTTGATCTGCCAAACTGCTGGCAGCTGGTGATCAGCTTGCTCCAACTGTTGCTGATTATGAGCAACACATATGCCCAACATAATGAATCAGTTTAAGATTATAAGAGTAACATAATCATTTTTTTTAAAAAATGTATCAGCATACATAAGTACCAGGAATATCAGTTACCAAAAAGAGAGAGAAAATATATCCAGTGCTGGAAGAAACAAAATTGTAACAAGGTTACAAAGACTGCTGGAGTTAGCAAGTTTTAATGTCTTTCTAAAACTGAATGTGAGCTACTGTATTTTTCGGAGTATAAGACGCACCTTCCCCCCCAAAAGAGAGTGAAAATCTGGGTGCATCTTATACACTGAATATAGCATTTTTGGCCTCCTGAAAGCCCACCCCCTTTACAAAAATGGACAT